CCAGAATTTCACTCTCAAAATTCTTCAGAGGTAAGGCCTCTCTCTCTTCTTGGATCTGGAAAAAGAAATCCAGCACGTTTCCAAAATCTCCAAAAATCAACCTGTTCTGCTCCACATCCATACCCTGTCTCCCTTTTCTACACTTTTGCCTTATACAAAGGAAAAACTGTGGAAGAACAGATAACAGTTTGTATTTTTTTCCTGACACAGCACAACACATCCCCACACCCCTCCCAGTGGAACATCCAGTCCTTCTGAAAACGTGTATTTCTGCTGAAATCCAGCCTTACACGCTTTGTAGACATTATGTTCAACCCCTTCTGGAAGAAAAAGAGACTAGTGCAAGCACAGCATGTCACAGGAAGCACACTTACCCTCTGTAATTCCTGATCCTGCTCCAGACGGTACATGAAATCACTTTTCAGATCCATGCTTATTTGCTCTGGAGTGAGCTGTAAGTACAAGACATTGTTTGGAGGCTTTTTGACTCCTTATCTACATCCTAACTTCAATATCAAATCAGGCACTCCAACGTAATGATCCCAAATGTCATCATTTCCTACATAACTCCCTGAAGTCAGTTACACCGATGAGCTATTTAATGTCATTCATTCCAGTATATTAAAAATTAAACATTCTTCCTCAAAGAAGTTTCTCAAAAAGATCCAAAACACTGAAAAAGAGCAATTGCTTAAATTGAAACACTTTAACTGCTTGAAAAACACACTCTAGTCAGCAGGAAGCCAATGAGATGATCATTCAGACAGGAGTTTTTAATGTAAGGAATGAACTAATGTAAGCACAAAACCACCCACAGAACAGCAGCTGAAAAGGGAAAAGTGAACAGAGAGGGAAATTCATCAGGCAACTCCTGTATTTCAACTACCAAAGAATTGCAAAGAAATTCAAATTTGTTACCAAAGGGCCAATTGCTTTTGCTGCAACTAAGTTTGTGCACCACGACTAGCACTGATGAGATTTGAAGTCAGCTCAATTTGCAATGTCCACACATATCCTGCTTATGTGTTTAAAACAACAACACCCAAATCTACATCAGCTCCGTATTTCTTAAAAATCAATACATAATGATCAATGTTAAATTGATGTCATTTATCGAGTGAAAGAAAGTAATAAATTACTGGTTTGGCCATATGCACTCTGATTCTCTGTTGTAGGAAACTCAAGTTCCTCCCCTGAGAGTCTTTTCTTACCAGGTTATACCAGCCAGACCAAATTACCCTCTGAATTTGACAACCCAGCAATTTTCCCCTTCTCCCTCATTCTACCATGCCCCATTGTTGCTTTTCATTTGTTCTGTGCTGAATGGGACTAGAAATGACAAAAAATAGGAAATTTGGCTGATTGTGTAATGACACTTGGCATGGAGCAGTTTCTTCTCCCAGAAAAAAGTCCGAGCATGGAAATATGGGAAAGAGAAGCTAAGGAATTATAAATGACATGTCCATGATCTTACCTTGTAATTTCAATTTTAAGCTTTGTATGGGCTGCACAATGGGAAGTAAAAAGTGAAACAGAGCAGAGAATTGGGACACTCAAGACACTGCTGCTCAATACCTAGTGAAACACAAAGTAAACACAAAGAATTCCCTGCCTCCAGGTCAAAAGGGGAAGAAATTTTATCAGTGGACTGTTTTCTCCTTTGGAATAGCTTATACTTTAAATCCTGAGGGGAAAAGCATTTAAAAGTTCTGGAAGCACAGGGAAAACAATCAACAAATCAATTTTTTAAGTTAACCTTACATTTGCCAGAGGACCCTCATCAATATTGCAGCCAGTCCAAGGGTTCCAGTTGGAATGAGGTGGTGACCAGGGAACAACTCCCATGTGACTTTGTCTCTGTGATGGCTCAAAATGGGCCAACTTTCCAACGTTGATCAGAACTGGATCACTGGGATCTTCAGGCTATAATTCCAAAAGCAGAGAGGGCAAAGACAGGTGAATGCATTAAAGGAGCAGGTGTGATGTTACACACTGGAGTGTCTCAGCCACACACTCACCAAAGGCACAACCTCCAGGGACAGCTCCCGGACAGTCTTTTGCAGCTGATTTTCTAATTCAGGAGACAGTGACACCTCATAGGGTTCCAGCTAGGAAATATTGACAAACTACACGTCAATATACACAAAAAGACAGACAGTGGGAGCCAGAACTGTGGGCTGAACCATCAAACAGGGCCAAAGAGTATCATCAGTTCAAAATTCACGATCTTGAAATGTTTTGGTGACTTTTCATCAAATAAGAACCTGTAGATTATTTTTAAATATTTGAATTTCATTTCAGAGGAACACATTCTCAAATACATATTATTTGGTGTGTGTGTATATATAGAGAGAGAGACAGATCTGAATACTCAGCAAATGCTCATGTGTCAGAGAATGAATCCAAACAGCTGTGCATAAACAGAAACACTTAAGTTTGTAGAGACATTTTACTGAAAAAAGTGTTTGTTACAAATACTTTTTCATTTAAAATTAGTTACTGCTCCATTCGCATACCCATGAAGTTATATTTCTGATCCAAATCACTGGCCAGAACAGAAACAGCTGCTAAACTAAAGAAACCAAATCAATAACTTGTAAGATGTTAAATATGGAGAGCAGACTCTAACTCACTCGTGTTTATGGCAGTGCTGCTGTGTCAGGAAAGGAAAGCAGTAATTCCAGCCCCTCCTCCCAAACTCACCGACTCTCCTTTCTTCTTTGTCTGCCCAGAGTAAGGCTCGATGACCCCGAGGTGGTAGAGCTGCCTGACCAGGGAGAGGGCACAGGACTGTGCTGCCAGCTTTTTGTTGGACCCGTGCTCGCGGCTGAAGATCCCTGTGGCACACACAAGTCAGAGCTGCAGGAGCCCATCAGTCATGCAGCTTCCACAGAAGATACTACTCTGAAACAAACTCTCTGATTGCACACACAGGCAAGTTTCAAATCTTGATAAATCCAGAGTTTCAACCTAAAATCCAACAGCCCCCTCCAGCAGCTGCCTCACACTGGCTGTGTGATGTTACTTACTGACAAGTCCCATGAACTCTTCCTGCACTCAGAGTGTGTGATTATCCAACACCACACAGAGGATCCCTCACCTCTGGAAGTGGCTCCAACACATAACTATGATAAAGTCTGTACCCATAAACATTCCTCTGTAGCAAAACCTGCCTCTTGGTAAGTTAAAAACTAAATAGGAACACTTACTTCTGCCCAGTTGCTTCACATAAATGGTCATTTCTGCATTAAAGCTCCTGCAAGAGAAACAACACAAAGGTACAATTACCAATAGCTGACACTGCAAATATATTCACTCTTTCCAATATTTCTAGGCAAAGACACCTCTGTTCTCAGTTAGAAACTGTCAACTCATCAGTGACCAAGGTAAAATATTACTGCTTTTAGTCCCTTTAACCCCAAATTAGTCTGTAACACACCTGCCATCAATAGAACCAGTAGATTTGATAAGAAGAATCCTGCAAATGCCACTGTTCAGCATTGAAATTTAAAGCCTTATTATTAGGAAATATGTTCTGAGCTGTCCAATTTTAAGGAAACTATTATAAAGCAGGTAGGACATTAGTGCACCATTAACTGTATCCCACATTAGTGATTAGATGATCTAATCACACGATTATTAGATTAGATCTAATCACTAATCACACTAGTGATTGGATACTAGTATAACACTAGTAACCCACTAGTAACCTGTGTTTCACAACTCAGATGCACCATTTGATACAGCTACTCTGCTTTTTACCACACGATTGGCCAGCCCAGAGCACAGCCAAAACCAAACCAGGTCATTCAGTCACAGATCACTGAACTTATCTGCACAGGAGGAGACAGAATACTTGAATTTGCATGAATTTCCATTCCCTTATTGCCATAATCTGGGAACAGCAGAACTTTAACTTACTGAGCAACTTGTTACTCGAGTAACAGAGTTCCTCAAGGTAGCTCTGCGTAGCAAACCTAATAGTTTGCTTAGCAGGCATGGGACCAGTTTGTTTAAAGGTTAACTGGTACACTGATCACAGAATCAGAGGATCATGGAATAGTTTGGGTGGGATGAGACCTTAAAGCTCATCCAGTCCCACCCCCTGCCATGGACAGGGACACCTTCCACTAGCCCAGGTTGCTCCAAGCCCTGTCCAACCTGGCCTTGGACACTTGCAGGGATGGGGCAGCCAGAGCTTCTCTGGGCAACCTGTGCCAGGGCCTCACCAGCCTCTGAGTAAAGAATTTAGGCTTAAAGAAAAACAATCTTCAACAGAGGAGGATGGAAACCAGATTCGTGTTTTTAAGAACCCCAGACCTAAGCCTGTGTTTGCCAGATGAAAAATTAAAAGCCAAATTCTTGTAAGACAGGATTTAACCTGGCAAACGTGACTCAAGACATGGAACTGGGCTTTATTGGACTGAGATCCTCTTTGGAAACTAGGCCTTTGGCACTTGCCCAGCTGCAGGCAGAGCCTTGCACCCGTGTCCTTCATTTCTTGCTGCAAACAAACAATAAGAAAGGTTAAGTGAGTGATTTAAATTTCAGGTTAGAGCTCCTTCCTGTGCTACCAGCGAACTGACCTTCAGGCACAGTGGCTTCAGGGGTCGAAGGCCACTGGCTCTCAGGGACACAACGGCCACCTAAGACACCGATGACAGTATGTTTCTCAGCCAGGCCTACAGTCAGCATTCAATCTCATTCTCCTCCACCTGAGGGGAGAACAGCAACACCAGAAATCAGTTTGCAGCAGGGTCCCACGTGATTCCCTAGTCCAGCCTCCTGAGCGTGGCACAGATCTGTGGTGTCGCTCTCCAGCAGGAACGGGAGGAGGCAAAGGCATCCCACGCTTCTGATGGAATCCCAACATGGAGGAGCCACATCCCACCCCTTAATGTTGAGTTCTTGCTTTGTGTTTTAGGAGAGCCATGTTTAGATTTACAACACATACCCTCCTGACATTATTAAAGTTTCTGAATCCAAATTTCCCAGTTATTACTAAGTTCTTAGACCATGAATGTGATTAACTGACCACAAATGTCTGAGAGCAAGGCTGACAGATCTGTTATAATTCTTTTGTAATTAACATCTCTGATCATTACTCAAAAAGCCCAAAACCAGACTGGCAGGATGCATGGCAACTGGTATTTCTTAAAAAAAAAACTACCTAAACTATATAACCATCCTCAAAACTCCAAAAACACCTGAAGTTATCCCTCTCCTGTTGCACACACCCAAAAGGATTGACTCCAACAGTTTGCTCTCTCTTAACAAGCCCTAGAACACATTAGGATTGTTAATTAGATGTTACAGCAGGTAGTGAATTCCCCCTTCTGCCATTCCGTCCAGGGAAACTCACACAACCTTCCCTGGATAAACAGTAAACAGGAAACTCTGAAATGCCCTCTGGAAGAACAATAGCCAGGCTGAGAAACATACTGTCATCTGTAGTCATCTCATTCTGCTCCAGACTATCTAATTAAAATACACGGGCTTTCATGCCTCTACCTGCACAATGTGCAACAAAACGAGCTGCACAAAAATTCCCTAAGCTACAGGAGAAAAGAAATGCTCAGAAATTAAGCCTACAACAAGCATATTTTGAATTCCTAGCACTGCACAAACTAACTTTTTATGTCACATTTAAGGGAAAGACATGGCCTTGCCTGAGAGACATAAATGGAGATGAAGTGACTTGAAGACAGGTTTTAAAGGAGAATTTACAGCTTTCTGCACCGATACAAACATTTTAGATATTCTAAATGCTTGGAAGTCTCAACAAAAGAATACCAGAAGTCCTGCAAGTGAGACTCTCGTGAAAGGCTGTAATAAGAAAATTCTCTTGTCTTTCTAAAAACATCAACTCTCATAGAACACAAGTTTATACAATGCAAAAAACCCAACCCTGAACCCAGCCAGGAGAATCCAGCAGCAGCAGCGTGCCATTGTTTCTGGCCACAAAGCATCACCATATTTCACCAGAAATACAATGTCCTGAAGTTTTGATGATTTGTAGAGACTGTTTCCAGGGGTAAAGTAATAAAAACCATCAATTCTTTATGCACAATCTGCTATGAGTTATTTCCATTTGGGGAAACACATGCAAATTCTCTGATGGAATGGGCTGGAAGTCAAGAAAGAGTAATATCCAGCTGGTCTCAAGTGAAACCCTTTGGGAAGATTCTGCCAAACTAATTTTTCCAGTAGAAGATTCCAGTGTCAAAAAGTTAACTGTAATACAAAGAGAAATAAAATGTCCTTAAAGCACATTTCTACATAAGCAAATTTAGGGATGTTGTTGGTCCTGGCTAAGAACACTGTGGAGCACTAAAAATAAGTGTGAACAGCCACTGTCACCAAACCCTTTGTACACAGACAGTGACTAAAACCACCAAACCTGTTGTGATCAGGCCCCATTTCAGTGTATTTATATTCCTCCTGGATCTTCTCCTTTTGGAAAAACTGGTTCAGACGTGCCTTGGCATTTTCCAAGGTCCAACCCCCATGAAGGTCAGCATTTAAGTCCACTTCTGACTCTGAGGTCTAATATGGAAAAGAAGAGTATCATTTACTAGTTTTAAACATTCTTACAACAAGTCTTCAAATAACTCACCCAGATTCTATAAAATAATTGAGGCATTACAGAAAATGCTAGAGAGTCCTCAGTAATTCCTTATTTTCACAACAAAATGTCTGTACAAACACTTGGATGCTCACAGTATCCAGAGTGATTTATTTTGTTCCTAGCTTAAGCAAATTACCTTTGTTAAAAGCCAGAGAGTAAATCTGCAGTTTAAGTTAAAATCAACAGCAAAATATCAAATGAAAACTCCAAGTTTGATTACAAATGCAAATAACAAATTAAAGGGGGTGAAACAGATACCTGGAGAATTCCATAGCAGGACTTACCTCCTGACCTTCTTGCTCCTCTTTCTTTGAATAATAATCTTGCAAATTCGCACCCCGATCCCACTGAGCTCCATGACTGCCACAGTTTCCAGGTGCTGCACCTGGGCCATTGCCTATCACATAGACAAAACCAAAAATAAAATAACCCCCCCAAGACATGCTCTCAGCAATGGAGAGGCACTTCCTGGCAATCTCACAGTCCCTCAGATCTCACAGTCATTCACGCCTCTGCCCCAAAACTACATCTCCTGTCTGCAGAGTATTTGGGAGAAAAATCACCACCCAAATACATCCAAATACACACAAATTACAGTTTTCAGCCTTACCTACTTCACTTTTTATAAGCAAATGTGGAGGAAGGGGTCCTCCCAGAGCTGAACTGGAACCAGTGACATCTCTAGCTGCTTCCTGGGCTCCATCGGGGGTGTCACCTGGGGCTGGCTAGAGAAGGGAAGGAAGGAAAACCTCACCACACTGGTGCAGAGTAAGTTTTATTGTTCAGCTCAAAACTGGTCAGGCAGTTTAAAGAGCTCAGGCAACATTACACAATAGTTATCCCCAGTAAATATGCAATAGTTACCACCCAGTAGCAACCTCAGTAGTAACACCCTTTAAAAACTGAAAGGAACACAACTGTGGGTGTTTGAACACTGAATTGCCATGAACTAACTGGCACATCAAAACCTAAATATCAGTTCTGTTCCCACTCTGGGTTTCACCCAGGCTAAAGAGGCAAGAAGGCTGAGAAAACAGAATTATTCTCTTCCTTCCCAACAGATAACACAAAACTTCATGCTTTATTTACTTTATTTTTTTGTCTAAAATTGCTGCAATGACAGAGTTACCCTCCTCCTCAGCCTTTATGTGCTAGTCACTGCTGATGGTTCATACAACATCATAAAAAGCAGAGATCCTGTCACATACCTGAGGAGCTGGGGCTGCAAGCAGTTATGGTTTAAAAAAATGCCAAATTTTCAACGTCTGGTTTGAGGTATCTGTGATTATTATTTTTTGTTGTAATTTTTTTTAAGTACACAGGATTGTGCATATATATATATAATAATATATATCTAAAACAATTCCCAGTGTCAGGTGTGAGTACTCAGCACTTTTAAAGTCAGGCTGCACCTCACAGGGACTCTGAGTTCTTTCCAGCCTCATCAGCTTTGCAGCTTAACACACAGCTGTATGGACCAGATCATCCCACAACATTCAGCTGGACTCAATGGTCTTAAGGATCTTTTCCACCCTGATATTCTGCATGTATCCCAGCTTTCCAGCACTGCGAGCACAAGTCCCTCACACTCAATCCTCATCGTCGTACAGGGGACTGAACTCCTGAGTGAAACACAACTGGGAGCATCCCACTGCCAAGAAAGGTCAGGCTTTGGCAAGGAGGAAGAGCAGCTTACTCCAAAAGCAGGGACTTCATCCTTCTTCATCTCGTTCACCCGCACCAGGTAGTTGATGAAGTCACGGGCAGCGTTGCTCTGCGCGTCCTTCTTGTTGGTGGAGTTGCCCATGCCCACGTAGTTGAACCCTTCCACTCGGACCTGCAGGGAACAACACACAGCTGGGTGGGGGAGAGGGGCCTGCAAACCAGCAGCACTGGCTGAAACACCAAAGTCTGCTTGCTCATCAATACAGCAGAAATAACGTCGCTAAGTGTTGTTATGTATCAGTAGACACAGCCATATATTTCTGTAGGGTTTGACTGTATTCTTTCATAGAATCATAGAATCAGCTGGGTTGGAAGGGACCTCCGAGATCATCAAGTCCAACCCTTGATCCAACACCGCTGGGGTTACAGGACTGATGCCACATCCAGTCTCTTTTTAAAAATCTCCAGGGACAGAGAATCCACCACTTCCCTGGGCAGCCCATTCCAATGGCTGATCACCCTCTCTGGAAAGAAATTCGTTCTAATATCTAACCTGAACCTCCCTTGGCACAACTTGAGATCCAGCCCTCTTGTCTTGCTGAGAGCTGTCTGGGAAAAGAGACCAATCCCCACCTGGCTACAACCTCCTGTCAGGGAGTTGTAGAGAGTGAGGAGGTCTCCCCTGAGCCTCCTCTTCTCCAGCCTAAACAGCCCCAGCTCCCTCAGCCTCTCCTCATAGGACTTGTGCTTGAGTCCCTTCCCCAGCCTCGTTGCTCTTCTCTGGACCTGCTCCAGCACCTCAATATCCTTCCTGAGCTGAGGGGCCCAGAGCTGGACACAGCACTCCAGGGGTGGCCTCACCAGCGCTGAGTCCAGGGGAAGAATCACATCCTTGGACCTGTTGGCCACACTGTTCCTGAGCCAGGCCAGGATCCATTGGCCTTCTTGGCCACCTGGGCCTACTAAAGAGACTCCTACATTCTGAAAACCTCCATTCTCAGAGCACAAGTACTTCCCAGAACCTTGTGGAAGAAGACAAATCAATGTAGGAAAGGACCCTGGCAAACCCTGCCCAGGATCACCTTCTTCAACCATAATCCCAAACCCTTGGACAACTAGGACAGGAGTGAGCCGGTGTTCCCTCAAGCTTAGCTCCACATTCTTGCAGATAAAAACATGTGATTAATTTGTGATTTTTTTACTTTAGAGCAGCAATTCTATGTCCTGGACAATGATACCTCCAACCAACCATTAACTGTACTGGATTCATAGCCAGACTCTGTAAATCAGCAAGAGAGAATGTTTTCATGAGACTGATCCTTTCACCTGTTAAGTTTCCGTGGATGCTCACGGGGCATCAACTTACAAAAACCAGAACAAGAATATACATATATTGTATAATATAGAATATATATATATTATTTTCTAAATATTAGTTTTCACAAGAGCATGGAGAGACAGGACAAGAGGGAATGGATTTAAACTGACAGCGAGTAGGTTTAGCTGGGATATTGGGAAGGAATTCTCTCCTGTGAGGGTGGGGAGGCCCTGGCACAGGTTGCCCAGAGAAGCTGTGGCTGCCCCATCCCTGGAAGTGTCCAAGGCCAGGTTGGACGGGGCTTGGAGCAACCTGGGCTAGTGGAAGGTGTCCCTGCCCATGGCAGGGGGTGGGACTGGATGGGCTTTAATGTCCCTTCCAACCCAAACCATTCTGGGGGTTCTGTTAATCTAACTGTGCATAAACCCACTCCATCTGAGTAATGCTCAATCTCAGTTATAACACCTTGAAAACTGGTTTAATATCACTGTGCTTCTCAGTTTTGCTATTGACAGGGAAGACAAACAGGGAGGAAGGGTAAAATGACAAATTCAAGGTGTTTAGTGCAAATTCATGGCCCAGCTCAGAAAATGACCCGTTCTGCACACTCACTGCCAGCTCCTCCTCAGAGCCAGCCTGAACTCACAGCTCCCACATCCACACTATCCAGAGCCAGGAGCAGAGTACTGTTACAGCCTAGCCTAGGAGCCACTCCAGCAGGAATTCTTTGATACCTTTCATCTCAAGTTCAACCACAGGCCAAAGCTCTCTGCAAAGGTGACACACGGCTATTTTAACCGCAAGAAGGACCACACACACGGTGTGCAGACACTCACCACCCTTAAGAAAATCGTTTCCTTTTCCCTGTAGCAGCATCCTTCCGGCTGCTTCCCTCCTGCCCCTCCCTTCACACCATGCACACACAGCCGGGACTGAGAGCCCTCCCTGAGCCCTCGGCTCCCAGCTAACCCCCCTCCAGGCCGGGCAGGACCCCCGACCACACTGGTAGAGCCCCCAGATCCCTGGCAGCGACCCCAGACCCCCTGCTCTGGCCCCAGGTTCGCTCTGGCAGAGCCCCAAGCCTGCACCGGCAGGGTCCCCGGGTCCCTGTCACAGACTCCAGACCCCAGCAGGGCCCCGGGTTCCCCGGCAGAGCCCCCACATCCCCCTGGCAGAGCCCAGACCCCCGTCACGGCCCCCAGACCCTCGGCAGGGTCCCCTGTCACCTGCCCCCCGGCAACATCCCCAGATCTCCGGCACAGCTCCAGGTCCCTGCCGGCAGCGAGCCCAGACCCCCGGCACGGCCCCCAAACCCCCGACAACACCCCCAGGACACAGGCAGGGACCCCAGACCCCCGGCGGGGCTCCCCAGACCCTCGGCAGGACACCAGACCCGCTCGGAGCCCCCAGATGCCCGTCACGGACCACACACCCCCGGCAGGACCACAGAGCCCCCTCAGGGCCCCAGTGCCCCTCAGGGCCCCCGCACAGCCCCTGTGGCCCGATCCCGGCGGGGCAGGCCCGCACCTCGCACAGGAAGGTCTGCCGGCCGCGGCCGCCGGCGGCGCGGATCTCGTAGGCCGGCATGACCCTCCGCCTGCCGCACCAGGCGTACAGGTAGTTCTTCACGTCCCCCATGGCCGGCCGGGCCGGGGCTCCGTGAGGCTCCGGGGCAGCACCGCCCGGCAGCAGCAGCGCCTGCGCGGGGACGGCGGCCGGGAAGGGCCCGGCGGGCGGGCACAGCCCCGCCCCTCGGCGGGGAGCGGCTGCCCGTGAGGGCAGAGCCGGGAACAGCCCCCCTCGCTGGAGACATCCCAAACCCACCTGATCCAGGCGACCCTGCCCTGGCAGGGGGGTTGGACTGGGTGATCTCCAGAAGTCCCTTCCAACCCTAACAGTTCTGGGATTCCCTGTGATTCCATGGAGATGCTCCGAGGGCTGGAGCCCCTCTGCTCTGGAACCAGGCTGGGAATGCTGGGGGAATTCACCTGGAGAAGAGGAGGCTCCAGGGAGACTTTAGAGCCCCTTCCAGTGCCTAAAGGGGCTCCAGGAGAGCTGGAGAGGGACTGGGGACGAGGGATGGAGGGACAGGACAAGGGGGAATGGCTTCCCACTGCCACAGGACAGGGATAGATGGGATATTGGGAAGGAATTCCTCCCTGTGAGGGTGGTGAGGCCCTGGCACAGGTTGTCCAGAGAAGCTGTGGCTGCCCCATCCCTGGAAGTGTCCAAGGCCAGGTTGGACGGGGCTTGGTGGAAGGACAGTGGAAGGTGTCCCTGCCCATGGCAGAGGGTGGGACTGGATGGGCTTTATGGTCCCTTCCCACCCAAACCATTCTGTGATTCTGTGACTCTCTGACTTCCTAACCTGCCAGACAGCATTCTGCACTGGGATATAGAGATGCACAGCTCAGTTGTGGCTTTGTTCCTGTCCTAAGGAAAACAAATGTAGAAACAGCTGCTTATTAGAAAGCCAAAGCTTGCTATTGCAAAAGGGTTTTTTTTTTTTAATTTTGCATTAAGGTGTATGAACACAAAGAGATCAGACAAAAGCAGGATTTTACATGCACAGACAGTATCCCAGTAACTCTGACAAACAGATACCAGTCTGAGCAATCTGATGGTGCCATACTGTTGTTTAAACACAGTGTAGTGCTCATGGAGAAGACAAAACATCATCCAGCTGGAGGGAGGGTGGAGCCAGATCTTCCTCCTTTCTAGGCAAAAGGAGTCAGCCCCTCCAACTGGGGAAAATTTGCTATTTTTTTTATTAAAAGGTACCACCTAGACCTGGAATGTGCAGAGCTCCAGAGAAGCAGTGTAAAGTGTTGGGCCACGTGTGCCCCAGCAAAGCCAGCCCCAGCAGGAAAGCACTTGGGCACTTTGCCAATTCCCTGAAAGAAATCCCAGCCCAGCATGTGGGGAATGTGCCACGTGGCAGAGAATCCCAGCAAAGGAACCTCCAGATCCGAGTGGAAGTGAACAGCATCGTAGATGTGGCACTTGGGGATGTGGCTCAGGGTTGGACCCAGGAGTGTCAGGTTAATGGTTGGACTCGATTTTAGAGGTTTTCCAACCTCAGTGATTCCCAGATTCTGTGTGCTCAGTCACCATCAGGCCACACAATGCTGTCCAGCTTGGCTTTGGCCTTGGCAATGAACTCCTCAGAGGCACCAAGGAGTGGAAGCCGTGGAGGTCCCATGGGAATGCCAGAAACAAAAGTCATCACAGCTTTAGTCTGTGCAACACCAAAACCTGGGCAGACAAAAGCAAAATCAGGACATTTGCAGACCATCTTGCTTAAAGCAGCCTTGATACACGTGCCAAAAAAAGCAGCAGCATGGATTTCCTGGGTAATCCAGCATCAACCAGGCTTCGAGTATTTCTTGGAAGTGAGAACAGCGTAACTAAGAAGAGGGAGCTGTGCTTGCAGACAGGAAAGGCATTACAGTAAAAATTACACCTGCTCACTACATTTATTTATATACAGGCAACCCCAGTGCAGATTCTTGCAAAGGCAAACCCTGGGAGCAGTTACATCCTGCTCCTTGTCCATAGCTCTGGAAATTCAGTATTTGCCTCCTTATCTATAAGGCTAAAAAATAATGCAATTCCTCTGACTTTGAACCCAAGAAATAAAATCAAGCACTAAAGCTCAGCTACATTAAGCAGGGTTTGCATATCCCAGCAAACCCAAAGTGAACACTTCTTTTCATTAAGTATCTGATTTAATTTAATTTGAACATTTCATGTCTGATTCAGTCTCCCTACACCACTCTGACTTGGTTTTAATTGCTTTTTGTATTTAATCTTGATTTTGTTTCTAAAAATCATTCAATTTTAAAATGTTTTGGCCTTGTACAGCCCTCAACAAAGTTCCTCTTAAATTACAGCAAGGCAGGAGAGAGAAGTATCAGAGCTGTTTTCCTCCTTGGGCACCACCATCTCAGAAAAATGACTGTAGAAATAAAGAAATGAGCTTTTGGAGACAGAAGGGAAAAAGAAACTAACAAAAAAACAACCCACAGAAAGAGTCAGGGTAAGAAAAAGGGTAAATCACAGAGTCCCAGCTTTAAATCTGTGATATTTCACAGCAGAAGGAAGGAAGGGAGAGTGGAATTGGTCAGGGATGCTTGGTCAGCTCCCAGCTTCCAGCTGCTGCTAAGTTGGGAAACAGCAGATGCAACAGTTTTTCACTGTGAAATCTTTCAGGAAGGAAGTTCCAAGAGTGCAGCAACATGAGAGTTGCAGGAGCACCAAGTCCACATTTTTAGACATAACGAGTGAAACAGGCAGTGATTACCCAGTTTACTTACCCAGTTTGATGACAAAGTTGAGAAACTCCCCAGTGAGAAACTAGAAAAGATCAACAGTAGTTTATTAACACCTTCAAATTTGAAGGTGTAAAAGCATCTAGAAATATTATGATATCTATATTTTATACAACTGTAGCCCAGCTTTGAGAAAAGCCACTGGGCCAATCTATGGGAAATACTAATTGAATTCCATTGGAATAGGGGAGGGATGCCTCAAATGTCCCATAAAAAGAGTGGGTACAGATTGTGCACTGATGGCTCAGAACTCCCCACAAATCTCCAAGCTGCCCAAGAGGGGTGAAGGCAGAGCTGTTTTGGGACAGCTTTCTGCCCTACATCATGTAGGCTATCCCCAGAATATTCCTAGTCAAGGGGCTTGCTCCCCATGGGTTTGTTCAAGGAAAAAGACTCACCTGCATGGATGAGATTAGAGAGTTGAAGGGTAAGTGAGGCAGATCTTCGATAAAAGTTACTAAGGACTGGTCAAAAAGCTGAGCAGGGATGAGTAACAAGCAGGGGGCATGGAGCTGGAAGAATTTTCCTTTAATAAAGCTACCTCAGGGTATGGATGCCAAACCCAGATGGAAAACCAGCCCAGTAAAGCTCGAGGTTGCTCCCAGTGGGGCCAGGGAAGATGCTGTACCTGATACTTCCGTGCCAAGGCAAGGTCTGGCTTTGCAAAGGCTTCCAACATCAGATTGGTTTGTCGGCCCAAATAGTTATATGTGCTGCCAAAAAAACAAAAAAAAACCCCAAAACAAACCAAAAGGAGAATTGGTAAATGCAAAGGAGGAACTTAAAACCAGTGAAACGAAACAAGTAAGCACAGGCTTTTGCTGTTGACAGGGTAGGAATGTCATTATTAAGAGAGATTTGTGCAATGTATATGTGGTCAAGCATCTGAAGTGTGTCAAGCCCTACAGAAGAGTTTAGAGAGCAGATTCATCAACCTCTTAATTTTCCAGTTGCTTGTTCATTTAATGGATCCTCTAAATGGGAACACAGATATCACACAGTAATTCATCTAAGCAGCCTAGTAAGAGGGGCAGAAGATAAATCAGAAATAAACTTGGCAGAGCCATTTTCCTCACAGACTTCTCATGTCAACTAATGATTTTTACTTCTCTGGGTTTTGGTTCCTTACACATATAATGAAAACTGAAGTAGGGATCACTTCTAAAGTTGCTGTGAGGATAAAAAGTACGTTGAAACCTTTGGGTCAGCTTAGGGACTGCAGCACTAATCACCCAAAGGAACACGGGGTGAGATCCCCAGGTTATATGACTGTCCCATCAGCAGGATTGGGGCTACATTATGTGTCTGCCCCACCCTGTAAAATCCTCTGTTGTGGTGACAGAAGACAGTCAGGGAAGTGCTGTGCAGACAGTGGAAGATACAACACCACAGTGTGTGTGTGGAGGGGAGGGAGTCCAAGCCATACTGACCTGCCAACTGCTCCATTTGCCCCTACTGCCAGTGCACCCAACAGTTGCTAGTTTGGGGTGAGGGGAGAAACAAAAGTAAAAAAAAAAATTTACTTCATGTAACAAAATAAAGAATAAAAAAGGGGTGGTGGGAGGGAGCAACGAAACTGCCTGGCACTGAGTGTCCAGGGTTGTTTTTCCCCAAGGCTGAAGCAAGAGAATGCCTTAGAAGGAATTATTTTTAAGAGGAGCCCTTTACCTCATCCACCCCATAAAGAAATTCAAGCTGCTGTGCTTCATTCTTGTGTATACACTGTGCAAGGTCCAGGAGGTCCGTGTCGCTGAACTTCACACCCTGGAAGGTGGGGATCCGTTCTTTTATTCCCTCCAGCAACTCTTCCACACGAACTGTGCAGGACAGCAAGCTCATGTGAAGGAACACAGCCCTGTTCTGGGACAGTCCCCTGCCACGTCCCCAAGAGGGAGACTTAATGTTTTAGAAGTTGTTTAATAGGCCTAAGCCTAGTAAACTATACAGCTCTAAAGCAATGAGCAAGACAACAAAAAGCGAGACTCTTTTACCAGATCAGAACACAAAAACCCTGGATAAGTGAAAGTTTAGGCACAAACTGGCAACGACATATTTAAGACTGAATTTAAATCCTTACATCCAGATACACCACATAACCTGCTGTCCAGAGCAAATGACCACAGATCTGTACTCTGTACTTACTCTTCACACCCGTCAGAGGAGGAATATGATAGTAATAAAATGGAACATCAGGGGCCTCAGACGTGACCTTCTGCAAGAGAGAGACCAGCTCATCTGGAAGGAAAACATCACATATCCCATAAGAGAAGGAGACATTCCATAGGGACAGACAGTTCAGATCCACAGCCAGGGGCTGTGGAGAGGCCTCAGCTTGTGCACCATACATATAAAACCCTTCACACGTCATTAACACATTAAATGTGACAAAAATCGGGGGAAGACCTTAAGGAAGGCAAAGACAGTATATGTTTTAAACCAAAGCAATTTCAGTAACTCATTCATTCTCTTGCAGATGTGACTCAGGCCTGCTCTCACACGTGCCAGACCTGTGTGCCAAGTGGTCTCACCAGGATCACTTGTGTGTTACAAAGGACAAGGGATCAAGGTCACGTTCACCTCCCTGGGGTGTTGCTTGGTGGATGATGAACAGGTTTTTGGACAATTTTCTTGTACCATTTTAAGAATCAAAGAATTATTATGTCTTCATTTTGCAAGACACTAACAAAACACATCCCAAAAGACATTTTTCCCGCTTCTTACCAGGAGAATTTTGAAATTCTCATCTTTAAAAAACGCTTCTTGTAGGTTTTGCTTTTCCGTGACAAGTGTGCAAACGTTATCACCAGAACAGTTTCCAAAGAAAGGGGATGGTATTAATCCTTTATCTATGATCAAGGTTTGGAGGGCAATAAAAAGGCCCCAGCAATCACAGGTACTCACCTTTGTTTGTGGGTTTGAAGAAGAAGGGCGCTATGACAGCAATGCCACCAGCACCTATGGCTGCTGCGTGTCTTGCCTGTAAAAGACAGAATGGAAAGTACCTGAAGGTAAAATCTGCTTATATTTATCACACACAGTGAAAAGGAATCATATCATGTACACACCAGCTCTTGGGACTCCGGCAGGCTCAGTGCTCCCACATGAATGATCACGTGATCCAATCTGTACCAAAAAAAAAACCAAATTCAGAAGGTTTGGAGAGGTTTCAGTGATGGTGAAAAATGCCAGGCTGCCAAAATGAGCTTGGGGAGCCACAGAACAAGAACCTAGAAAGGATCTGAGCCTGTGTGGACCTGACAAGCCGACACACAGGGAAAATGCCAACAGTGACAAGTGACAGGTGGTGGAAAAAAATCACACTTGCAAGCATGGATGATGTGTGACTCCTTGCTGTTGTACTTGCAAGGCTGTCAGGAGGGACAAATCTCAGCATTTTATTAGGAAGCTGAAATTAAGATGTCAAGGGTTTAAGGGGAAGCCAGGAAGAGTAAAGGATATCAAAGTGTATCTTTGCATTCTAAACCTCTTTCTCTGCAGACCTACCTCACAGCACAGAGAACATTTGACACCTTGGGTTCCCCCTTCCAAATCATTTATTACATTAAAAGGTTCAGAAATGCTTTTTATTTTCAATTCTTTTTGAGAATAAGCAAAGGGCACAGGCCTTTTTTTTCCCCCTCAAGTCCTTTCTTGTCCCCCACCCCTCAGTGTACCAAAGAGAAGGACTCTTACAAGCTCCCAAAACTTGTAAGAAATGTCAAAAAAATGGACACCAGCGAACTGGCAGTGACAAAACCACACCTCTGTGACAAAGGAGCTGGGGAACAAAGCCCAACAGCAAAATACTGGAGTAAAAAGGCATCAGCAAATTTGGCTGTGCAATCAAGGCATGCCAATATCAAAACATGAGATCTGGAATCCCCTGTTCCCCCTCAGCTACTCACTTGTCTTTTCCTTGGCACACCCATTCTTCTGCCAGCTGCTTCCTCTCCTGGATGCTGAGGGACAGGCCTTCTCCTGTCGTGCCATTCACTGTTTCAACACACAACATACTGGCTGAGGCCTCACCTTCACATTGTTTTCACTGAAGAAAAGAACTGACACTTTTTGAGTTGGGGAGAATCACTCAGTGAGCCTTCTCTGCCAACACATTATCCAGTCACCTCTGGGAGTGTAACCCTGTGAGGGCAACACTTATTTTATCCCACACTGAAAGGGGATGTGGGCAGAAGCAGATGCCTTAAGTACCTCTTGCTCTCTCTCCACTGGGGACTATAAGTGGTCAGGATGATCCCACATCCACAGTGCCCCCCACTACAGCTCTTATCAGGTGAGATATCACAGGATTTCCATCCAGGCAGAAGGGCTGTAACACAGTTTCAGTCAAAGAAACACTCACCAAAAACATTCTTCACAGTCTGCTCGTTTACCAGATAATCCACGTACTGACGAATCACCGGAAGGTTAATTTGTCTGCAGAGAAAGGAATCACAGCAACCATAAGTCTCCATCCACATTTCTCTTTAACTTAGTCATTAAGAAACAAGAAAAACCCCATGTATTTTGAAGCCTTGCATTTGTACACGCACAGATTTATCCCAAGGCATGATACCCTCAGCATCTATTTAACATCTGAGGTAACAGCTCAACTCTGAATTCCCTCTTGCAGTTTCTCTTCCTCCTGACAAGTAGTTCCAACCTTTTGTCCCAATTGGGAATTACTGCAGGCTCATCACAGCAGAGGACTTTTTTGGGGAGGTATGAGACAGTACAAGACAAACCTTTGCAGCTGTTGAGGGAAACAGGAGTCCTCTTGAGAGCATAAAGATTTTGTCCAAGTGCTGGCAAATAGTTAAACTACTTCTGGATACAGACACTGAAATTGCATCTGCTGGATGTGACTTTGACCTCTCTCTCTCATTAAAGGATGAGGAAAGCAACAGATTTCCGCGAGAAACGGGGGAAATAGAATTCTATGTTTATCTTCTCTGCAGGACAAACTTGTTTTGTTTACCCAAATATAATATTTGGCTGTTGTGTCATTTGTTAAACATACAGACAAACCCTATAGCCTGGAAGTCAATTCTGGTGCCTTGACTGGTCTTACACGTCACCCAAAATTCCACATTTGTCTTCCCAGAACATATCAGACAAGGACCATGCATTCCAGGCAGAGGGCTCAGGTCACTCTCTAAATACCATGTTTCTATATGAGTTGTGATAAAAAGTGAAATCAGAAACAAGTTTCCTTTAAAGCAAGGATCAAAGCAGTGCCTGCAAGTGAATGAGTTCTCTGACTAGCACAGTGCCAAACTGTACAGCACTTTTAAAAAGTGAAGTTCACTTTTGGCAGTCTGTACTAGCACATCTCCACCACCTCCCTCAAAAACATAAACAGATCCTGTCACATCCCCCACCAGAGCTCAGGGTTCTCTGCTGACTCCAGGAAACTGTCTTGCAACACCAAAATGCAGTCAGGAGGGTTCTGTTTGTCACCCCTGCCCTGAGGAAAGCTGAATTTCAAGTTTCGATTGGATGTTATTTTCAGAACTGTGCTGTCCTTGCAGTATTTTCTTCAGGCTTAGACTAATCCCATGCACACATACACACACGAGTGCATGCATGACTGAGCTAGGGTAAAGTGGAACCTAAAAGGCCTTCAGATTCTGACAATTATTTTCTAGCTCTCAAGAGCTCTTTTTAACTAGGACTGTGGTTTTCCTTAACAAACGTGAAAACACTGCAATACTCTTCACGTATAAGCTTACTATGAATTAATTTGCGCCTACAAGGCAGCAGAAAAAGAGAAGTGAGACTGATCCAAACTCTCCCAACCCAGACCTACAGCAATTGCTGGGCAACAGGAGGAGGCAGAGGAAAGGGAATCTCTCTCTGGTCCTAGTGGGACCAACAGTTCCCACATCCCACCTGAGATCTGATTTAAGAAAAAAAAGAAAAAGGGAGAAGAAAGAAAGAAACAACGCAGATCAGTTCCAAATATGAAAGAAGCAACGTAGAAGTCTAAGGAAACAGTAATCAGTGCAACTTTGACAACTCACCCATCAGGAGTCATGGGAGTAATTGTAGCAGCTACGAGACCCTGCAACTTCTTTCTGGATGTCATTGAGCTGCTTGAAGAAGAAAGGGGTAAACGTGATTACCATCTTTATTCAAGTGTAGTTCGACTTCTGCCAAAGGCAAGAGCCGCAGGCCGTGCCCCAGCACCCCCGGGGCCGCGGGCAGCGGGGCAGGGCCCGGCTCTGCACAGACCCGGCTCCCCGCGCTGCCTGAGGGCCCCGGCACGGCCCTGGCACGGCCCCCGGCTCCCCCTCACCTCGAGCAGCCCCTCGGCGGCTCCCAGGGCCGCTCCAGCGGGCGCCGGGAGCGCGTCGGGAGGCGGCGGGGTGGGAATGGCCGAGGGAGCGAGAGGCGGAGTGAGGGGCGGGGGCCGCGGCACCGCCTGACAGCGCTGCACGGCCCTGGCAGCCCGGCCCTCCTCAGCCTCAGCCCAGCCCTTCTCAGCCTCAGCTCAGCCCTTCCTCAGCCCAACCCAGCCTTTCTCAGCCCCAACTCAACCCTGCCAGCCCAGCCCTTCTCAGCCCCAATCCAGCCCTCCTCAGCCTCAGCCCAGCCCTTCCTCAGCCCCAACCCAACCCTGCCAGCCCAGCCCTTCCTCAGCCTCAGCCCTTCTCAGCCCCAACCTAGCCCTTCCTCAGCCTCAGCCCAGCCCTTCTCAGCCCAGCCCTTCTCAGCCCATCCTTTCCTCTGCCCAGCCTTCCCTCGCCCAATCTTCCCCTGTCCAGCCCATCTCAGCCCACCCTCGCCCAGCCCCTTCCCTGCCCTCTGGCACCCCCAGCACAGCCGTGACCCCCATGGGCTCCCACAGCCCACACTCTGTGCAAAAAGTAAGGCTGGTTTGGGTTATTAATCGTTATCTGCAAACTTAAACGTAAAAATAAATAAATGAACTTTTCAAAATTTGCCAAACTAACAGGGTGGAGACAATCATAGAATCAGAGACTGGTTCGGGTTGGAAGAGACCTTAAAGATCATCCAGTTCCGCTCCCTGCCACGGGCAGGGACACCTTCCACTACCCCAGGTTGCTCCAAGCCCCGTCCAACCTGGCCTTGGACACTTCCAGGGATGGGGCAGCCAGAGCTTCTCTGGGCAACCTGTGCCAGGGTCTCACCACCCTCACAGGGAAAGATTTTTTCCTGCTATCTCATCTCATGCCTTCCCAGCCCCACTGAGGTGCTGGAAGCACTCCCAGTGACAGCACAGTGTCCTGGCTCTGGGACACATGGACCCATGTCTCTGTGTGAAGGGCAAACGGAGGTCAGGCCATGATGAGAGCAGAAAACAATGGCCCATGGGGAGCAGCCCAACATGGTTTTCCAAGATGTGCACCGTGTGCAGTGCCAAGTGTGGCCCCATGGCAGCCGTGCACAGCACAATCCTCCTCCATCCCACCAGAACTGCAGCTGGGCCTGGATTCAGATCTTCTCCAGTTGATTTCGACAGACCACCAGCACCCCATAAGACAAGGTACTGCCCTGGGCAGATTCCTGGCAATAAACCTTCAAAACATCTGCCTTGAGGGTGCACTCTCAGAACCCCCATCAGAGCGTGTTTTGAGAGCACCCAGTGCCTGCAGGGAGAACAATCCCCTGTTGTTGTTGTGTGCCCGGGAGCACATTTTTCATGTGCTCACATAGTAACCCCAGGAGTTTGGGGCTGTGGTATTCCTCCCCCACCCCAAAATATGTTCCCTGTGGGCTGTTCATACGTAGAGATCACTTTCTCTGGGGTTTAGCTTTATTAGCAGGTCCTCCAAAGCACATGCTTTTCTTTGAGGGTCATTTTGTTTGCCAGAAATCCCCTCCTCTCTAAACTCTTCTGTTCCTATGGGTAACTTCTCTCTCCAGGCTGAACAGCCCCAGCTCTCACAACCTCTGCCACCTCCCCAAAACAACAGTGTATTTCTTGAGGTTCAGAGACAATTCAGTGCTCTGTAGAGCCACTTAAAGAAAGTCCAGAAGGTATTCCAAGTATTTTAAGGGAGTTTTAGAGCTACTGTTGACAGCATAGAAGTTTTGCAGTAGCCTGAAGTGGTTTAGGGCTGCTTAGAACAGCCTGTTGGAGTCACAGATTGGTCTAGAAGGGTTTTCGAGCTGCCCTGAGCTCTTCAGAGGAATTTTAAAGCTGCATAGAGCAGTTCAGGGTTGTACAGCAGAGATTTAGAGGCATTTTAAATGTCTTTAGAGACACATTAGTGCTGCTTAGAGCATCAGAGGAGCTTTAGATCAGTTTAGGGGTGCTCTGAGGTGTTTAGAAGAGGTTTAGAAAAGCTAAATGAGTTTAGAGTACTTTACAGGAGTTCTGGCACACTTTACAGGACTTTAGAGCTGCTTAGAACTGTTTGCAGGGGTTTTAGAGGAGTTAGATCAATTTAGAGCAGTTCAGCATGGTTTTAGAGCCTCAGGGAAGTTTTAGCACTCTTTCTCTAAGCAGGAGTTTCAGAAATGCAAAAAGGAGCTCTGGAGCCATTTCATGGAAAACTGAGAGGGGCTGAGATCTGTTTTGAAGCATTTTACTGCTGCTTAAGGCAGTGTGGAGGAATTTTAGGTATCAGTGTTGGTTAGAGGGCTTTCAGAGTGGAGGCTTTTTTTTATCGTTTCTCACCATTGTTTATGGTTTATCTTCAATTAGAAGGGTTTTAGAGCTGTCTAGGTGGGTTGTAGAGCAGTGTGGCACATTCTGGAACTCTTTAAAGAAGTCCAGACTGGTTTATCACTCTGGAGTGTTTTAGAATCAGTCAAATGATTTTAAAGGGTGTGATTTAGAGGGTGTAATAATAGCTCTGTAAAAGGTCATCAGAGGTGTTTTGTAGCTACCTGGTTAAAGCACCTCACAGCATATTCAAGGAGGTTTAGAGCTCCTTAGAGGAGTTCAAGATGCTCAGAAGATCTTCAGATCAATATAGAGGAGCTCTAGATAAGATCAGATGAATCTGAAAGTTGCTTAGAGGAGGTTTAGAAAGATGTTAGTGCCGTTTAGAGGACCCAAGCACTCTTGGAAGGGATATTACAGCTCCTCAGAACTGCTTAGAGTGCTTCTGAGGAGTTCTGGAGGAATCTGCAGCTATTTTTCAGATCTTTGAAGCTGTTTCAGGAAGTGCAAAGGTATTTTAAAGGTGGCAATAAACTCCTAGAGGTGTTTAGCACCATTTAGTGGCAGTTTAGAGCCGATTAGAGTCTTAGAGTACTTTTGGGACTGCTTAGACTTGTGTAAATTATATCTGGTTTTAGCCAATTGTCTCTGCAACAATACAGAGGTCTTAGAGCTCTTTAGGCTAACTAAAGGACTTTTAGAACAATTTAGAAGAACTATACAGTGGTTTAGAGCTGCTTAGTGGGGGTTAAAATCTTAGAATAGCTCAGAGACATTCTGAAAAATTTTAGGGTTGCCCCAGTTCAGGGTTGGCACTGTCTGCCCCCATCTGATCACTGTTTCTGACTCCCCTCACTGCCTCTGTCCCTTTCCCTTAGTCCCTGGCTGAAGGTTTCCTGTTTTGGGGCTGTCTTTGCTTACCTTTGGAAGGGATGCAATGAAAAAAAAACGATGGTGAAGATTCTAAGGCTTTCTGATTATTTACACTGACAACCAGCAGGAAAAAGAACTGTGCTTTACCCAGAAGGAATGGCAGCTTCAACGGCTGTGGGAATTTAGAGTGTGGGGAATGTGAACACATGAACTGACATCCAGGTTCCAAAACCTGCACTGTAAATTCTGGGCAAGGCAGGAGGAGAGTTCAGGCTCTCTGCAGCTGCAGCATCCTGTGCAGTGCCCGGAAAAGTGTCTTTCCACTTCCCTTGAAATAAGCAGTGCAGTGTCAGTGGTGCCAAAGCTCAGAGGATAATAAGGACACCCGTGAAAGCAGCAACAAAAGTCAGTTGCTGTTTTTCCAAAACAAGCATAGGAATAAAAATATGGTTTTACAGATTCTAGCAATTTTTCTGTAAGGAAAAGGAATGAACATGAATGTCAAAAGCTTATCTAAACAACTCCATAATGTAATTTCAAATAGGGAAGTTATAAACACATAAAGGCCCTGCAAGTTTCCTTTAGACTTTCTGTTGCTGCTGTATTAACATTTCCAATAATTTCTACACTGAAGACAACTTCACTTCCATTTTCTCCAAATCACACTAGTCTCTACCTATACAGAGTTTTGACACCTGTTTTTTGTCATTTCTGAAGGTACCATGAGTGCACTTCTGGTTCAGCATAATCAAACTATAGTTTTGCTTCGTTCTCTCTGCAATAAATAAATGTATCCAGATGTGATTTTCTTCCAAAGACAGACCCAAGTCTGTTTTCAGAACAAATAAGAAGTATCCAGGCCTAAATGAAAATTGAGAAAGACAATACCTGTGAAAGTGATGAAATTCTGTTAAATACCATCTTGGCTGGCTGGTATTCAGAAGCACATCATCTGGGAAGATGGTGTGATGTCATTATACATCAACCTCATTTTCTCTGCTCTAAATCAAAAGGTGCAAAAATCAAAAGAAATACCAGCCTCTCAGATGTTTGAGTTTTAAACTGTTAGGTTGGCTATTGATTCTGCCTGGAAACTTGCCAGTTTAAGTGGTTTTTTCCCCCCTAACTTTGCATTTTCTTAACTGTCTTACAGAGACATTCCCTGCCCATGGCAGGGGGTTGGAACTAGAAGCTCTTTGTCCCTTCCAACCCAAACCATTCTGTGATTCTCTGTTTCAGGCTGGTGTGTTTGCTGCATAAAAGATGTTTAACACACAAAGATAATTTTTTACACATTAAGATGCTTAAATGTTTAACCTTCCCATTAACAGTCAACAGTATAATCAAGTTTATGGTTTTGGAAATAGAACAAACTATCAGGGTGCACTGGATCTATTACTGAGCTGAAGTGACCACGGACAACCAAGAGAGCTTGAGGGACATTAATATTAAAGTAAAACTCACCTCTGGACACAACCAACAGTGCCACCTGCTGCAGAACCCAGCACTGGCTCACCCTGGGAAAGGAGAGGAAGAGAGACCAGGTTCTGGTCCAGAATTCAGACCAGAATCCATCTCTGGAGGCCTCACTCACATCATCTCTAAAGAAAGAAAGTGCCCACCAAACCCCACCCCCACTACCAACACCCCCACTGTCAGAAGATGGGAGAAGTTCTGACATGATCCATATTCAAGCTCAGGAAGCAGCTCAGGAGACAAACCCTCGGCTTCAGTTACCTTTTCATGTCTTTTTGGGAGAAGTGGAAAATATTATTTTAGGAGAGTATTTTCTTTAAGATACGAATCCTGACTCTCCAGGTCTGGTCCCATCACCTCTGGACATGTTCTCAGGTCCTTGGGACTCCATAGGGCTGGACTCCTTTGTGTTTGCAAAGAAGGTGTGTTCTCTTCACCTCAGGCTTAAGT